CACATAATTCTGATCTGTTTTTAATTTCATGACTTCCTTCTGTTATCATGAGAATCATGTTCCTAATATGAAAATAATTACATGTCTCTTAATATTTTTATTATCATACCTAATTCTTTTCATTGTTAGAAAGAATCGTCTGTAACATCTATCCACACATTGTATTATAGAAAAAGGGGTAATATTAATGATACTGCAGTAATTTTCAAATTTCAAAGAAAATATATCTCAACAAAAAAAATTATTTAATGTAAGAAAGACAGCTTCCTCACATTTGCATAGCCCTTACTCTCAATCAATACAGCTCACACAATATTTTGCTCAAGATTTATTCAACAAAATAGATATTTTTTGAAAAATATTGTTCACTTTCTTTCCCTGTCGACTGTCTGTTGACATACTAGTGAATTGTTTATAAAATGAACGCTGAATCTTCCTTTCAGCTGACAGGTCCCTGTGGGTTGCTGTTTATTAGTTTTGTTTGTTGTGATTCAAAATGCAGGATCTATTCTTCCCCAGTGTTGCTGTCTATTCCCCCCCCCTTTTCTTTTCTTAGTAAACTAGAAGAAGATAAACAGAATGTTCTTATTTACAAGTAACTACGCAGATGTCCTTCAAACCCTCTTTCAATTTCCATTCTCGTATTTCCTTTCACGTATCAAATCTTAAAAATGTAAGAGAATCTAATGCACCACCTGAGAAGTTTGTTTTTGGTTTGTTTGGTTTTTTTAGCTCTTTGTGTTTGAGTTGTAAAATATAGAAATTTATTCCCAGGGTGAGAAAAGTCATGTCATTGAAATCTCTTTAAACTGTTGGCACTGAAATGTGAGCAAGACTAATGGTATATTCAAAGGAATTATTTGTAGAAAGAAGCAAATTTTTGTCATTCATCTCCTTATCCATCTATCCATTCATCAAATTTGTATTAAATACGTAATATGCTGGGCACTGAGCTGGGTGCCAGAAATAGCAGAAATGAATATCTCAGTCCCTGACTTGAATGAGTTCAATCAACCTGAGTAAACAAACATGTAAAAGATGACTGAATTTTAATGTGACAGGTGGCATAATAGAGGTGTTTTCTAGAGGCTGAGGGAATGTGGGAGCATAGAGAAGAAGCTAATTCTCTCAGGAAAACTTCACTGAAGTTACACTTGAGATCAGTCTTGAAGGATGAGTTAAGCAGACAAGAGAAGGAGGACACTTAAGGCATATCCTAAGACAGTAATAAATAATGATTTTCATTTTGTATTTTGTTCAGATTTTCTTGGAGAATGCAAATTCTTTGTCCTTCTGCAGTACAGAAAAGAATAGGAGAGAATCCATGCTGACAAAGAAGGCAAAGGTGTGCCTTGAAGGAATTTGCATTTTATGCCATAGGTAATTGGAATTCTAAATTTGATAATTGTAGCAATGTTTGTGTTTTAGGATCTGTGTTGGATTGGAAGTCACTGTGGAGAATGAGTGATGGGAAGCAGCACTGGAGGGGAGAGATGTGAGAATAGTTAGGCTCCTGCTCTTCTCCCCATTCTCACTGCTGTAAATGTTACTATGTGAGAAGGCTTCCTTGACTATCTCCTGGTATAGTGATTGCCTCATAATATGATTTTAAGAATAAATAAATAGATAAAGAGAAATGTGATAAGGGGTGCAAAAGGTAATGAAGACTTGAAAAGCAGAGTTCAGAATGGAATACAATAAGAAGACATTCAGGAAATATTTCACTATAAAATCAATATGATTTGGTAATAAATTTAGTATATGTGCTGCCGAAGCGAGCATGATTTGGTAATAAATTTAAAGAAAGTTATGATCATTTTGATATATTTCTAAGTGAAAGTTAAAAGTTTAAAAAGTGGTGGGGGGAGAGAATTGAAAACACCCTGAATTTACTAGTTGGGAAACTGCTTTGATGATACTGCTATTAACTGACAGATGTAGTAGATTCAGCAGAGATAGTTGTTGGATGTATTGTGCGTGTTGTAGGGAGTAAATAGGGAGTGCTTTTGCTTAGGGAAGCCTGGATATAAATAGGGTTAGTTTGTAATCAGTGAGTTTTAAATACCTTCCAAAATATTCAGGCAGACATATTCAGTAAAACAGCTGGTGACAGATTGATAGATAGACACATACATACATACATACGTGAATAGAGCTAGAGATAAACAGTTTAGGAAATAGATCTGAGCAGGATATACAGGATAGTAGCTATTTGTGTTTTCTAGTGGTAGATGAATGACTGTTATGGATAAGTTTCCGCCAAAAAAAATACAGAGTAAGAAGAATTAAAGGGCATAAGAAGATCTAACAATACAGGACAATTTAAAAAGTAGGAAAAGAGCAAAAATTGGGAGTTCAAAAGAAGTTCTAAAGAAAATGTCAAATGTGACAACATTTGAGATCAAGCAAACTAGGAAAAATGTAGGATATCCAGTTTCTAAATCCATATACTATTTTATTTGTAACAATTGATAAATTATGTAAAAATATTCGTGCTTCATTCATTCACTGAAGTGAAAACTAAAAATTCTAAAAGTCAGTAACATTAAACACAAAGTGTTTCCAATGCTACTATAGACATGGTAATAGGTCATAAAAAGTCACAGCTCTTGTAAGTTGAAATGAAAATGTTTTGAATAGAGAAAATGATATTTAAAGGGTGAATTGGCCACTGTTCATATACTTATGTATCCCTTTTTTCTTAAACAGATCACCTTTAGTTTATATTTCTGGTCTTTTTATTTAATGTACAAAGTCTCAGAATTATCTCCACGCATATAGTGATAAATGACTTAGAACTTCAAAGCAAGGTTCTTCTACTCTCAAAGCTAATAATCATTTAGTATCTCATTAGCTAGAATTAATTTTTGTCTGAATAAGGAAGCAGACATGTAGTGAATAACAAGGCCTTTAGCCCAGGATATATGTACTTATGTTATAAATGTATGTGTAATATAGAAAAATAAAATATTTATGAAAATATATTTTGTATATTAGAATTATATAATTATATCCTAAAAATAATTACGTAAGTTGAAAGCTATCTTTACATTTCAAATAGATATTATATTCAGCAATGTTTCCCTTTAAAAAACCATATAAATAAAAAATGTTTCTTATTTACCTAAGAAAAAAATAGTAATTACTTTTCATTAAGCACTTAACATGGAATATACTCTGTGCTAAATGTCAATCCTTTGTCATCTCAATTAGTAGTTTAAACTATTGTAATCTTGAGGTAACGGTGGCTAAAGATTCAGTTAAAGTGACTACTAAGTGGTAGATAGAGCTGGTTTTAAACTAAAGTCTTTTTAAGTTTGTGTTCTTTATCAGTATTCTGAAATCAGGAAACTCAAAAGATACTTAACCAATCCATCTATCTTTAAAAAATGTCAATACTTTCACTTCCAATTTAAGATGAAGGCTGGAAACGTGTTTGCTTTTTTCCACCTTTCCAATTACTCTTGAAAGATTCTGAAGTACAAAATAAGTGTACAAAATAAATAATTTCATGCCAGAGAAAAGAATGAGAGGTGCATCAGATTCTAAAAGAGATTTCAACAAACTTTTCAAAGATGAAGTTATATGTGAGCAGACTGACAGATGAAACAGAGGGGGAAAACTACAGGCTAGAATATGCCATAAAAATACTGCTGAGTAGGTGTGAAAACATTCACTTGAAAATAACGTGGGGAGGACTGGGGCTCAAAGTCAACTGATGTAACAAAGCACCAAAGTGACAAATAAGACTGAAAGCAGGAAGATTCAGTAAAAATATTACATAAAATAAATTTACCAGTCAGCAACCTAACTTCCCTTCCAGAATCTCTCCACAGACAGCCAGACTCTCCCCCAGTTGTGACACAGGATAGCATACTTTAAAACTATTGAAATAATCCATTTGAAGAAAGCCAAAGTGAGACTCTGAAGCAAGCCTCAGAGGCAGAAGACCACAGTGATTAAGTCTCTGGGTTTTTAATCCAGACATTCTAATTTGAATCCTAACATGGCCACTTACTAGTTTTGTAATCTTGAGACTATTGCCTAACTTGTCAGTGCTCCAGTTTCTTATCTGTAAAATAGGTATAATAAAAATATCTCAGGGCTATTGCAAGAATTCACTGAATATATACATATAGAATTAAAATATAGATTCAGACCAAGGCATAGACTTAGAGCTATAGTAAATTAAACACTTTTTCCATCTTTCCTAGATCATTCCCATTGACTTAACAAACATATAAATTCTCTGGACCTAATGAAACAAATGAACAAAAGCCATCCTCAACCACACATCTCTCTCTAATCACAGATCGTTTTCCAATCCCCTTTAGAGATAAAGCCCACAGAACTGACAATACACATAGTGGTATACATCCCAAGACCCCCATGGGATGCCCAAAGCTGCAGAAAATACCGAGCTCTCTCTCTCTCTAGTTTTTCCTATACATACATACCTATGATAAAGTTATTTTATAAGTTAGGCACAGTAAGAGGTTAACAACAACCAAAAATAAAATACAACTATAACAACATGCTATTTGAATGTGGTCTTCCTCTCTCAAAATATCTTAACATACTGTACTCACCCTTCTTGTGATGATATGACGCAATCAAATGCCTATGTGATGAGATGAAGTGAGGGGAATGATACGGGGGGGTGACGTCCAGATAATTCGTCAGGGTAGGAGCACCTGTTTCACCGCGGCCTTTGACTTCGGGTTATTGACGCTGCAGAAAGCAAAACCACGGCTAAGGACTGCGTTGTCTCTGGCTCCCAATTCCCTCTCCACCTCATTCCAATCTAATTTTTGCCCCAACCTCTATCTACTCTCAGAATAATGTTTGAAAAGTAACAAGTAAGATAAAAATGACTTTAGACTTTTCATATTAAACAATCAATACTTTATTAAGTTGGTAAAGCGAAAAATAGAGATGTGATCATATTATCGGGTTAAAAAGATCACTAACCGAACAACAATTGAAAAAGATTTCCTCTGGTGCTTGCTTTAGCAGCACACACTAAAAACTGGAACCATGCCGAGAAGATTAGCATAGTCCCTCTACAAGGACGAGGTGCATATTTGTGAAGCGTTCCAGTTTTTTTAATTAAAATAATTTAAAAAATTAAAAACAGACAGAATCCACTGAGAGA